GTCCTGTCCCGGTCTGGCCGGGCCCACCTCTCTATGTGGCCATGGCACCAAGTTTGTAGGCGTAATGTCTGACAGCTGGGTGCCTTCAGGAGGGATTTCAGCTAGAATTTGCTCACGGTCATGTGTTTGCAATGCCACTCGTCCGCCCAACACTTCCACAATGGCCAGAGGGCCCCGTTGGCGCCGCCTTGGCCCAACCACAAGTTCGCAAGTGGTTTCGGTGGAGGCCACCAGGCTCATTTGTGCCTGTCACGGGGCTGTGACAAATGGCAGTGGTCGCACTTTTGCCCCCTCGATAGGGCAATGATTTTTTTTCCAAATTGTCACTGAACCCCATAGCGAGCTGGCCCATTTTCTTGATGATTCTCCTCCGGTACTGGGTTTGGGTCAAACCATTAATAGTGAACGAAATGGTGGCCCATTTTCTTGATGACTCACCTTCAGGAGCGTGTTTGGATCCGAAACTATTGATAGCGAATGAGTTGCGCCAAGGGGGAGTCGATACCACGACAATCCACATAAGGGCACCCACTAATAAAAAGATTGCAAGCAATATATAAGGTGGGCACTCTTATTGAAACCATTGTAGTGACCTGGTCACTTCCCCACAAGTACTTGTCACTTGCTACTCGCTGTAACAGGACTATTTTGGGGCCAACCGCGACATGTATAGGGACACAAGATTGCACTACCCGATTTGGGAATTCAGCTGAAAGAGCAATCGTTTTTGAAGCTGCAGGCACCTTGTTAGTGTTATTTGTGTATGTGGCCATTGCGCACAGATCATGGCGTGTAACCTGACCAGCTTAGCTTCAATGCCAATGGTGTGAAGACTCAAAACTATAGATATCGGCAGGGCACAGCCAGGATCTTCTCATCACCCGAGTTGCATGGGTTTCTGTGTGAATCGGCGCAATTGTGTGGATTTTATGTTCTTGTTTTTTTGGATATCACTTGGGATTGCATACGCCTGGGTGTCCAAGGCCTTTGGGTTTTTTATGTCTGGATTTGTGTTGCTGGTTCACCAGCGACACGATTGTAAACTGGTTGGACCTCCCGGATTTGGTTCAGCTCATTGCTATTTAACCAATCTGAGGCACGGTAAGGGCAAAGGCATACCGTGGCTGCGCAGCCACTGCATGCAGCGCTCACCACCCTTGATAACCCCAGGATTTTACTTTGCAGTAGATTAACCTGCACCAATACGTGACTCAGCCTGGAGGCTGCCCCAAACCCCGCACATCGTAATCCTGTAGTTGACGCCTTAATCATCACACAACTAACCGAACAGATTCTCTGGGCAGCGCGTGTGGCAAACAAGGTAGATTGGGCACCGAGGTGCAAGCGAAAATAGTCGACCCATTCATTCCCCCAAAGCCCAGCACAATCCAAGGGAGCCAGATTACATCGGCCCCCTTTGGACGCTTCGGGCTTTGACCGAACCTACGTGTTGGATGGACAGAAAGGCGAGGGCTGAAATGGGCATTCAAATTGAGTTGCGGATAAAACCGATCGTCACAACCCACGAGGTCCCCATTGGCAGAAATCCATTATCGGAAATTTATATTCACTTCTGGCCTACGGATTTTCTTCCCGTCCGACTTGCACAATACTTCAGAGATACCATCATAATTTTGCATGATGCGAAATTTATAGTACCAGGTTTTTGTACTTTGGTTTGAGTCGCAAAGCATTGGGGAAACTGAAATGACAGCCATTGGATTCGTTAGAATGTGACAGGCAATAATTGATGACAGATGTACAGTAGGGGTCCCTACATAGCGCCCCCTAACAGCGCCCCTGGCCCCCAATAGCGCCCCTTTTTTGGCTTGTCTCCATTTTTGCAGTACTTTATGCAGCTTTGCTGCGCAGTGGGACCTCAAACTAGCATTGTGGGCACACGGGAGAGGTGTCTGGTGGACAGATGCCATGGCGGCCGTCCGTTTTCGCAAACTTGGCGAATTGCAGACGGGCGGACGGCACGTCTGGTGCGTGCACCATGATACCTGGGCCCGGGGCCTCCCCAGCAGGCCAAAGGAGGTGTGCTTTCCGTGGCGGATCCCCATCTATGCACACCGAAGTGGCCACTGCCCGCCTTGGCTCCTTGCGGCCGGCGGATTGGAGGGATAGGGAGGGGTGCCTAATGCCGCGGCGTTCCTTTTCTTCAATGCGCAGATTGCCGCAGAATCGAGGGCCGATAGAGACCAATGTCGCGAATGAGTATTCTGAGCAAGCCTCGCCCTTGCCCTTCAGGATCAGTGCCGGCGTGTGAGTCAAGGCCGATTGATTGCACTCATGGGTGCCAATCAGGGCACCCATGGCTGGCACCATTCGGCGCCAACGAGGGGCAGCAATGGCGAGGGTGGGAGGCCACGTTTGGCCTCCCACTCCCGCTTTTTTGTTGTGACTTCTGTGCCCAGTTGTTAAACGCCGCGCTGCCATTCTTCACTGTTGGCATTCGCCCCTCGTAGGCGTCGATTGCACTCATGGGTGCCAATCAGGGCACCCACGGTTGGCACCAGTCGGGGCCAATGGGGGGTAGCAATGGCGGGAGTGGGGGGCCACTCTCGGCCGCCCACTCCCGCCTTTTTCATTGTGGCTTCTGTGCCCAGTTGTTAAGCGCCGCACTGCCGTTGTTGACCGTTAGCACTCGCCCACGCTGCACCTGTTACTCTGGGTCATGCAACTCTCACACAGGGGCGTCTCTGTCTCCGGGCGACCTGCCGCACAGATGGGGAGCGACGGGGCGCGTTGGTTGTGTCATGCGCCGCCTCCAACGACGCAAAGCACTGACGTCCCATGAGTACGTCCACGTGCGGTCGTCTGCGAACGGATATTTGCAGAAATGCGGGGGGCTGCTATCCCCTGTTCTCTACGGCGTGGTGTGCCCCTGCCCGGTTTGGCACACTCTTAATGCAGGCAATGCTGTGCAATTCCACGGGGTGACACTGCGTAACATCAATGCAACCCCCAAGCACGGTGTTCCACTACTGTGGCACGATGGCACATGGCACACGCTTTTGATGTGTCAATTTGGCATCTCAACATGCCATAACACTACTAACGGATCTACTTTTGCGTCTTCTTGTGATGGGGAGATTTATTTTATAATTAAAATTACAATTGAATGCATCAAAAAATAAATTCTTTAGCCCCCCGGGCCCAAAAAACGCCCCCTTTTTGCCCACGTCAAGGGGGGGCGCTATATAGGGACCTCTACTGTAGTTGTGAAGGGATGGGGAGGGAGAGAAGCAAGGCAACAAGAGAGTTGGCTCTCCTCGAGTAGGAAGCCACCCACCGACCAGTTAAACGCCCCGTCAAGGCTGCTGCTATGCTCGCCAGCCCACAGAGCACGAACCACACAGATGGCATTGAGGAACATTTACAGCCAGCCAGGCTTTTTTTTGCCAATGCTGTGCGGTGGCTTAAGATGTATCAACAAGCCGTCCAAGAATCTGGCTTGATGCCCAAGGAGTCATTTTCCTTCTTATGCTTCATTTAGGGAATACACTATGTCGATTTTGGTACGCTTAGCGTCAAATTGACGCTAAGAGACTACGCAATTGAAACAAAATCGACATAAGGTGCCCAAAAACGCCACTGATAAGCAGCAAACAACCCCTGACATGTTCTTAAGCCTGCTACAAGTGTCCCATCTCTAAAGAAGGTCTTAGAATGGATCAAGTTGCAGCCATTGAGGCTGCCCGCCTCACCTATAATGGCATGCAGAATCCCATTTTTTAACCAGCTGAAATCAGCACAACTTTTATTGCTTTTCTACTTAGAAACACCTGGAAGTTGAATACCATTGTTAGGTAATGTTGCTGAGTCATCCTGGCTTTGATATAAGGACTGACGCTAAGGAGGAGGGGGGGTCTGAGCTTTACGTCAAATTGACGCTAAGCAGACCAAAATCGACATAGCATCTTCCCTTCGTCCGACCTTTCACATCTCTTCTTGACATGCACATTAATGCACCACCAACGTGTCAACAATAGTGTTGGTACTGGTTTGTTTGGTACAATTCTCGACCATGCAAAACAGAAGTTGCAGTAAAGATGGGCCTCTTGAACAGAGAGGGCAAGTTGTTGCACAAGGAAGAAAGGAAACAGGGGCCAAAGCAATATACCGATGGCCCATGGACGATTGACAATTTGACGAATGAGGAGCGTGCCTTTCCGAAACGGATGCTGGAAGGATGGGTTTGGAATGCCTTTCGAACCACCACGTAACGGTGCAGCAGTTTTCCACCATGGGAAACAGCACTTCTGCAATGTGCTTCATTTCGGCCCCCGCCAACAATATGCATCTGGCTCACCATCACATTACATCGTAAAGGTCACCCATGCACAACGCCACTTGCTTGCGAAAACGGTGAGCCAGCATCACCGGCGTCTGTCAACCCCGACTCAAAATGTACCTGTTGCCACCACGAATGGCTTGAAAAACTGACACTACCTGCATTCCTTCGATGCAAAGCGACCAAGCAATGAGGCACTAGAAAATCCACCGCGCTGTGTCACCAATTTCGTCCATTTTGACATTGCATACAAGTGCATCCCACTTATGCACTTCACATGCATCCATTGCAAGCATCACTTATCAATGCAATTGTCCAACCCACAGCCATCAGGCACCCAAGCTCATGCCAGTGAAACTCAATATTCAATCGCCGCCACATTATTGGCCAGTGGGACAGCACACTAAGGAAAGCTTCGGTGCCGCAGGAGCAAAGGGTGGGGAAAAAATAGCAAAATCAACTCGTCGCATCCAGCCACAACAGATGCGTCGCAACTAGGTGAAATATTGCAAGCACTGAATATGGTGGGAAAGCACTGCAGTCCCCTCGTTGTGTCAAGTCAGTGAGGCACGCCTGTTGAGACTTGAGACTTGTTGCCTTCACCCAGTCAATCAAATCGCCCTATGCCACAAGGCCATCCATCCATCTTATCCCAGCCCATCCAATCCATCACCTCATTTGTTAACCCCACAATACCGCCTCACGCATTGCAAGACGCGCTCTTCAACAGTTTTGCCACGCCCAGCACGCCTGCGCCAGCAACCGCCACGCCACCAGCCACCCACTTCCACTTGCCCTCCACCACAGCCTCCTGCGCACCGTACAGCGCAGTGCACCGCGCCAGATCCCCGGGCTGCAGGTCCACCCGGTCCCCAACGTAAAACGGTGCCATCACGTCTGCCGGGTTGCTCGAGTGCGTGAAGCCCAGTACGTGACCAATCTCATGCAGGGCCACAGGGTACAAAAAGAACCGCCCGGGGGCGGAGTTCTGCCCCCTGAGCAACCACCTCTCGGCTGCATCGAACTGCAGATAGTCCTTCGTGCTGTGCGCCAGTGCGCCGCCCTTCCCGTCGAAACTGAAAAGGTTGTCAGGCGATTTGTCCCCCCAGGAAACCCTAACATGGGCAGCACACTTCCTCCTCACCTCCTGGAACTTCACGCCTGTGGCCTCCGCCCATGCTGCAAACGCTTGCTTGATCTCTTCCACCACCCCGTCACGATTCATGTACCCCGGTTCGGGCCCGACCCAGTACTTCACTGTCTGGCCCTTCTGGTAGTTTGCGACGTCAGGGTCATCTGGCTGATCTGGCACCGTGTCCATCCGCGGCAGGCCCAGCTTTCCCTTTGTGACGGTGCCCGCCACGCCGTCGGGGGTCAGCCCGACGAACCGCTGGAACTTCTTCACAGCCTCCTCGGTCACCGGGCCATACTGTCCGTCCGCGTCTGCAGTCAGCCACCCAAACTTGATCAGGTACTTTTGGAGTTGTTTCGTGTCACCGTCTGTGCTCCCACGCTTCAGCGGCGCCTCCTTGTTCTCGAAGAACGGCCCCTCGATCGTGGGCGCGGGCACCGGGGTGTCCTCCAGCCGCGCCACGGCGTCGTTCTCGTCGACGGTCATCACCCTCACGGCGCAGTCGTAGCGGCTCAGTCCGGCGCGCTGCAGCACCTGGGTGATCTCGATGTAGACATCAAAGGGAGGGCGGTCCTCGCAGTTCTCGCAGCGCGCCCGTCGAGCGGAGAAGATCGCGCCCACACCGGCGAAGGCCGGGTCATCCGCCCACGTGGACCTGTCCGCCGGGGGCGCCCAGGCTGCTGCCGTTCCCTTGGGGAGGACGAACACGTGGAGGGTGTAGCTGTGGTCTTGCATCTCCAATATGTTGATGGTGAACTTGGCGAAGGTGGGCAAGGAGCGCATCTGCTGGGGGGGCGTGGCCGGCAGGACGTCGTAGCGGTAGCCCAGGGCCTGATCACTGAAGGTGTCCGACACGCGGAAAGACCGGCCGTTAAGGCGGAATGGCCTCAGGGGCGCCGTGTAGCGATTCCGCTCGCCGTTGTTCTGTGAGAACAAACGTGTACAGTCGGACACATGCACGAAAAGAAAACAAAGGAAAAGAGACGACAACGAGGGAACTGCACCGAGGGTCAGTCGGCGCGTCAGTGCATCAGCGATTTCGACAGCCTGCTTTCACGAGGGGTCAGAAGCGATAGATGGAGAACTCTGAAACAAGCTCAAGAAGTCAAAGCGTCCGCAAGGATGGAGACACTGCGCTGTAGACAGCTCAGGGCAGCGAGAATCCCAGGAACGAGACTGGAGAGGAAGCCATGCGATACTCCCCACCCAATGGAGAAGCAGGGCCATGCAATGGGCATCGCTCCTTGATCAAAGCTTCTTCTGAAATCTCTTTGAGAGTGGCCTGAGGAAAGAAATCCCACTCAAGGAGAAGAAACAGGCAACAAAAACTGCAATCCTTCGTGAGTGTGGGAGCCTCTCTTCTGGAATCGGCGTGGGAATAGGAGTGTACATAGAACAGAAGACAGAACAAAAGACAATCAACTCCCTTCTGGCCAAAAACTGCACGCTGCTGCTGTTCACACTGCAGGAGTTGAAGTCTGAGTGCAACAGGAGAAACACACAACGCTGGGGGAGAGTGGGGTAGAGCGAGTTGGTGAAGACCCACCTGTTGCAACGACGCCTGCTGCTGTCGCATCTCCTGCTCGGAATCCGGCTCCAGCTCCAGGTACTTAGACAAAATGCGGTCGATGTTGCAGTGGTGCAGCCAGAAGCCAGGGTAAAAAGCCGCGAAGCCCACGGAGGCCATGGGGAAGCCCAGGATGACGTGCACCTGGTTGTGCGGGCTCTCGACGTTGGTGGGCTGCCGCCAACGAGTGGACGCGAACCGCCAGTGCTCCTCCTCGCGCAGGGCGCCGTTCACCCCCTCTGCCAGGTTGGCACTCCGGATGTCTCGCGCAATCTGCCGGTCGGAGGGAACTCGGGAATACCCGTCGCGCGACAACTCGTTGCGGTCCGTGACCAGCCCGGACGGCATCGTGCTGAATCGTTGACGGAGGATGGGCGGGAGGGCGCTGCTGTCTCTCGTCCAGTCCCAATAAGGGAGACCGATGTTGCCATCCCGACCTAGGGCTCGGTCCGCGGCCTGGGAAGACAATGGCGGCGGCGGTCACTCACAGTGGAAGGGGCCGTGTCACCATTGAAGCGAGGTCGCAGGCTCTCCCGCATTGCAAATGCCACCAGCTTATCGTTCTCCCGAGCCCACAAACATTGCGATGGGACCTGGTGGGCGCTTCACTTTTCTCTCAACGGCCAATCATCACGTCGCGTGAGATGGGGGTGGCGGCCGTCATGTCGGCATCCCCCAGTCGGCAGCCAGCACGGCACAGCTACAGGTTTCACAGCGCACAGGTTGCCTCGCCGCATCACTGGACGGAATATCTCTCAGCCACGCGCAACAATGGGGCGTGGGAAACGGGGCATAGCCGCTGGGCAATGCAGCCACGTGGCAATTCCGCAGGACAGGACATTCGGAGGGCTGCTGGCGATGGATGAAGGACCAAGGACCGTGGCATCAGTCGTGCGGAGCGATGGTTGGGCAGAGCCCCGCAGGAAAGATGGTTGTAAAGAAAAGAGCAACAGCCGACAGCGCGATGTACGATCTAGGGCGTCCAGAAGATGGACAGAATATGTCTCCACAGCATGAGGAGGGTCGAATACCAACTGACAAGGGCACGGACACATCGCTTGGAGCCCCCAGCCCCAGGCATAGAAAGCAACGTCTCCCAGCGCAACAGGAGAACGCCGGGACGCACAACACCAGTCAACGTGCAAGGAGGCAGAAGGGCGCGCACCGCCCACCTGTAATGCGCGTTCGAATTCAACCAGGTAGGCGCGGTGCCACGCGGGGAAGTGCTCCTGGCCGTGAGCGCAGAAGTTGTCGGGCCAGCCGTGGTACCCCGCGATGCGGAAGAACTCCGAGCTCTGCGACCCGTTGGTGTTTTCCATCATCTTCTGTACAGCGTCGGCCCACCGGTTCTGCTCCGTGGCGCTCATGCTATTGATGTTCCGCCGCACAACAACATCCCCGGATGAGGGCTGGGAGGGCCGGGACTGTGTGGGTGCCGGCTGACTGGGCCGCGACGGCCGGGAGGGCGCGGGCTCCGGGGAGGAAGGCGTCTGGCCCATGGCGTTGCTGCGACAGCAGTTGGGGAGTGCAGTCGGCCAAGGTCGTGCCAAGGCTGGCCCGTTGTGCCTTGTTGTAGTTAAGGATGAAAGGGGCGTGCGAGATCAACCATCTCCGAGAAGGACGCCACGTCAGAACCCCGAACGTACGCGGTGGCAGCTGCGAATCTGGCCGTCTCATCAAGGGCGTCAAAACTTGGTCAAAGCGCAAGGGGGGCATTTGGAACATTTTGGGACCCCTTTTTGGTATTGATGACGCATCCATGGCGCCACTGAAACAACGATTGGGGCAAATACAGCAAGCCAACAATTTACACCCGACGCCTCTGCGCATGCACTTCAGGGACGACACCACGGTGCTCCTTTCAATGATTAGCATCATTCGGCAACCGGCTTGCTGGGGAGTTCTGCGGGGTTTCTCTGTTACAGCTGGGTTATTGGCAGAACAGGAATCTGGGGATGTCCAACCAAGCGTTGCTTGGACATCTCTGACAAGCAGAGCCCTTTTCACCATCCAGGCGTTGACGCGTTCACAGATTCTGCCTGTTCGGGTTACTGGTACTTTACCATTTACCTGATTCTATCCAGTACCAATGTTATGCACGCACAGATGACACAATGCCATGTGATCAACCCAAAAAGAGTGCTGTGAACGAACTTACCATGGAAACAACTTACAAATGACGTGACTGTGCCCAAGAGAGCCACGAAACTACTCTACTGGCCGCTTCTCAAATCAAAATCCAGTCGATGGGTCAACGAATCAATCAGGGGGACCAAAACGCAGGTCATGACCTGCAGACTCGCCTGCCATGGAGGTCGCACAAAATTGGCATTCCTGGTGCGCAGCCAAGCACATGGTGCCCAAATGCTCCCATGAACTTATCCCACTGGTAGAGAGCTGATACGAGCTAGAATTGCAGGCCGACGTATGCCAAAATCCCCACTCCCACCAGTCCGCCAATCAACGTCGCGAGGGTGCCCGCGTCTCCCACCGCCCCTCCTTTCTGCAGCATACAAGATATGACGGTGAAACACGTGAAGCATTTGGGACAATATGACATCTGACAGCGTTCTTGGTGGCAAACATGAGAGCGTTGAGGGCTTTCATTCCAGGTCAATTTTTTCGTCTTGAGGCTTGTGACAAGCACGCATTAATGATTGTCAGACAACCATGATGGAGGTACTTACACAATATTAGTGTCGTTTTGCCCTTCGAAAATCACCAGCAAATTCCCCATGCACACGATTTTAGTGCATTCTCAGCTGATCCTCCCTCCCTTCCCCCATCCCCCCCCCCAAAAAAAAAGAAATTCTTATTCGATTGCCCATTTTCTGGAATGTTGACAGCGTTCCTCAACATTCTGTTAAATGCGATCACAGCAATAATCTGCTTGTGATTCAAACACAGGTCAGTTGGTTGACACAGTTTCCAACCGTGCTCCTGTTCTGGCTGATATCCTTATGATAGAAACAGGGAGAACATTGGATCTGTCTTCCTGACAAGCCATGTACTGACTTCAACATACTCCCCCAAGGGGTGTCCACATGAACACAAACAACTTTTCGGCAAGTGTGTAAAATTTTGCACATAATGTCAAGTTCATCGCGTCATACCGCTCTCCCAGTCTTCTTGTCGTACAATGCAAATCGCTTGATGGGTGCATTGCACTGTGGGCATCGCCAGTCTGGGTCTAGCTCTGAGAACGGCTTCCTAAATGCAGACCACACATCCGCCGTTCACAACCTCTCCATGCACAATCATTGCGATCACGACCTTGAAGTGGAAAGGAAATCTGCACCTTGAACTGAGGACACTCCAATTACATACTTCAACAAACCCCTCTGTGCACACATAACACAAGTGCACTGATGTGCAACAGCTGTGGCAGGACTGTCATTCGCATAAGCAGTGATCTGGTTGTATGCAGTGCTTGCCTGCGCTACAGAAACCAACACATTTGGAAGTCCAACATCGGAACCAAGCAAGAATGGCCCATATCGCCCTCCATAGCTGTACCAAAGTTGTACTGATGTACTCAGGACATCTTGGTATTTTTCAGCCAAATTCTTGACCCACACGATCAGAAAGGACTTACGCTTACAGCCAGTTGATGGTCCCAAAGCAAATGTTTGCAACACCACCAGTAGAACGCACAAAAGGCAGATTGAAACTCATCGCACTGAATTGCGCAAAGCCCACTAGCATATGCAATGTTTGCCACAAAGAAACGTAAAGTGTACACACAGCTATTTCCTTCATCCCAAAATACAATGCACAAGCAAGAAGGGATCCAGAATAAAATTGCAGCAGAAGGAACGAGATGCATGGCACTTGTACTGGATTAGTAGTAGAGAACGACACCAAATTAGAGAAGACCATATTGCGAAATTTTGGGAAACATCCCACCATAACAGAAAACTGCCACAGTGTGGCGACAGGCACATCACCTAATCGTTTGACAATTAAACACATTGACCTATATCTTGCAGCGCCCTCCTACTGGTGCTGAGGCTTTCTGTGCTGCCCTTTTGACAGTCATCACCGCAGAGAATGCCCAAATCCATCAGACGATTCACCAGCATACTTGATGGCAACAGGGATCGTGGGCACGATGAGATGGTCACGACACACATTGCTTGTTGTCTGAATACCAGTGCGACCAATGGCTGGCAAACCAAAACTATCCCAAGAGTGGATTATAAGGGTTGGAAAGAGATGGCCAGGAGGCACACGTTTGGATTCGCACTTGCACAAAACCTCCATCCGCCACAGCATGAAGTGAATGCCACAACAGGAATTCTCAAGATGCAGCTGTATGTGGAGTTCATGCAGTCCAGCACTGTCTGACAATGTACATTTCCAGATGGATGGGCTAATAGGCGTTTTTGGGCATCAGCTGCCTCCTTGCTTCCGTTGCCAAGCCTGTCGCTGGGAATTGCTCTGATAGTGACAATTTGGAAGCTAGGATTCCGTCGTGCAGCAGTATTGCGATGGTTCAGCTGTCACCCAACAAGTGAAGGGTATTCAACACGGTTATTCAATGCAACAGCACACAAATATGCCTTGGATCTGAGTTGTCAGCACCAAGCTACCACTGCTTCCAATGCATAGACCTGCGTGTGATTACCCTCACATCATGGCAATGTTGTTGTTCACAATGTACAGAATGTGCTGGCTTCCTGCCATATTCCTCCAAGTCTGCGATTCTATCTGTTGGCAGAAGCACATCCCAAGCAGCCCACAGAAGGAGGCACGGTTGGCAGAGAGAAAATGCGTGTTTCCAGGTCCCCATGAGGTTTTCCGAGTTTTTTCCTGAACTGTGACAGTTACAGCGACACTGCATCCTCAATGTACTGGTATTTAACAGAATGCTTTTGAACAGTGAGGTGAAAATCACTCGCTTTGCAACGCTTTGCACAAATCTTGCAGTCTGCGTTCATCTTTGAAGCTGCAGTTCACAACTGCACTCCGATCTGGGAGGAAGTGCAAATCTGCCTTGCATGGAAGCAGAAAGGCATATTAACTGCATTGATGAAACGTGACAATTGTCAAAACTGTGAATCACTCCCCTAGTCGATGTTGAAAAATGTTGAAAAGATTCTTGAGCCCACCTCTGGCAGTACACATAGCCACAGTCAACACAAATATGTGTGGCCAACTCCAGCTGCCCTGGACTCAGCTTGCGTCCAAAACGTGGAGGTGCCTTCCTCTTGGGCAGGCGCTTCACATTTGCAGCTGTATTCTCCCCCCTGACCTATATGGCCAAAAAGTGCGGTTAGGCTCTCAAGGTGATGTGAAGGTCAGGCAAACTGTGGTTACACAATATTTTGGCCTTGGCATACGCTGGTCCAAAAAGTGCGGAACAGGCTGTGGTAACAATCCCCGGCAGTCGCCCTTGACAACCAAAAGAAGATCACTCCAAGTCATCGCCCTCCCAGAAAATATGGGTGGCTTTCTTCAACATCAACAAGGGGGAGCACACAAGTACCCTGGTGAACATGGGAGGGTACCAATCCAGTCCAACCCCCTGTATATCAGTTATTAATTGCGTGGCAATAATAACTGTCACATACTGCCAAATACAATACAGCAGCTTGCACAAAGCCTGAATGCAAACCTCACACGTACAAAAGGCCTTGGCTGATGATATTGTAGTGGTTGTGGAATCTGAAAGCATGTTGTCGTGTCAGAATAAAACGTCACTGTAGGCTTAGCTGCAAGGGTGCCAACAGGGTACAAGCAAAGTCACATGCTCCTCACAGCGTAGCCGTGATGGCATTCCACTGCACAACAATCAAAGAGAACACTTACAAAGACGATGGTTACTGGGGATGGGCACCTCGCCAGAGCCGAGCGTGAAAAAGTGATGTTGTCTGCTGGCCACAGCTCGTCACCAAAGTAGGAAGAGGTGTAAATGACTGTGTCTCCACTCTTGATGCCAGCCTTGGCTGCGTTGCCTGAAGCAGACTGCAAACACAACAAGCACGGTTTGCAATGTCACTACTGCCCCCTTGTTCAATTCTACATTGGCTGTGTTTGCCCCATCACAACATACTCCTTGCCGCACACATGGCAGAATGTGAAATGTCAGCAGTGCTGGCTATTCACAAAGGAAACCAGGACTACATGCGACACATGTTGAGCCACCATTTAAATATCCCACTTGCGGTGAGGGAACCTGCTGCAAATATGCAGCCTGCTTAATATGTAAAATGGAAACTTGCGAGACAACTGCTGGTGAACCAAAGCAAGGGCAACCCTTTCTTGTTCAAAATGACTTCAGAACACTTGTCCTGTTGTGACATGAAGAACAACAATTTTGGCATGTGAGGAGTGCCGAACTCCTACGCAACACTGAACACAAAGACCATCAACTACAATTAGTGATGTGACAACTAGGCAGCTATTCTTGCACCACAGAATTCGAGCATTTTTTCATATTAATGGCCACCTTTGCCCCTCAAACTGTTCGGCACCAACAGGAATCTGCGCACTACAGAAACACATAGTGCTCTGGCGCAACAGCACTCAACAACGCGTGTTTCCAAGTGTGGTGACCAGTGATGTGACACCACACGCAATGGATGATGTCAACTGCATACATTGTGACCAAAAATGTCTGGAACAGCCACAGCTTGTTCTCTCAGTCATGTCCAGAACCATACTCTCTGGCAAGACGGCATTCCCATTCTGACAACAATTGCATCTGACCAAAAGGGGTGTATCAATGTAAAGATGTGAGACTGCACAACGCAACTTCACGCAGTGTGCAATGGGCATTAACTGTGGACAACAAAAGGCAAGAAGGAAGCCATCAATGCCATATTTGGTGCATGAGCATTGCTTCATGTTGTGCAACAAATTCAGTCCCAAGAAGGCTCATGAGCCAAGGACACACCTTCACAACGAGCCCTCCATTTGCTGACCTTGACTCAGCCAGTCTGAGGCCCAGAGGCTTATCAACATCGACCTGGAACAAAGATGGACGCACTCTTCATCATAAAGGTGTGGCACACATTCCATGCTGTTGAAACAATTTGCAAGGCTTGGAATGGACTTCTGGGCAGGTGGTTGTCTGGGAAAGCCCTTACATACCCTTGTTGCCAACAAATAGATGAAAATACTTGAGTGATTTTCATGCACAAAGTTCCAGACAAAGCGTGAGGACAGCTTTAGTCCAGGAAAGCAGGTGAACATTCAAAGCCTACTTGCATCCCTTGCTGGAGCCTATGCCCCCTGGCCCATTTCCGCATCTCAGCCCAGGATCGTTTCACAAAAGACATCCAACTGGGGACCAGCAGGTGGAACTGCCTGCTTGTAACATAACGACTTATATTTTCCAATCGACTTACATAGAATCGTACCAATCTTTCTTATTCTCTTTTCTTAATAACACAGATTTATTTAATTCAACATCCACAGTAGAGCAATGTCGATCTTGGATGCTGGTGCAATAGAAAATGCCATAAGGTTCTTTAGACTCAATCAGCTTCAAGGCATTGAGCAGCAATGAGCTGACAATTAATTTGTCCATTCAGCCAATACAAGCGGGTGGCCACATCTGAACTCACCATCACTTCGCCAGCAACGGCCTGCACCTTGAGCGCAACCTTTGGCATTCTGGTATCAGAAGCACCCACCATGGGTCCCATCCGCAGGGGACCACCCAAAAAGGAACCCTGTGCGAAAAGAAGCATCCAAAACTCTGATTGGAGAACATATGTGCTGGCACATGCATCCACATTTACCAATCAATCCCACCGTTGCCAACAGCAAATTTCGTTGTTCGTAATTCTCAATGTGGTAGAGTGGTCATGTAAAACAAGTCACTCTACGGTCAGCCTGAACATGATTCCCAGCAATTGCCAGCATCCAGTTTCTGTGGCAGGTGCCACAGGTAGATGGCAGCACCGAACTTGAAATTGGATCCTGGTGCATTGCCAGTGGTCCAAGCATGGGGATGGTACAAGCGCCCTCGCGTCGTCGCATTCCTCACACCTATGGCACTCCAGACTGCTTTGACGTATCTTGACATTGGAAATCAAACAGGTACCCATCACTTCCAACATCACACCCACAGTGCATCGACGATCGCGTCCCAAGCTCGCTAGGAAACCCGAGAAGCGGCCAGTTTTGGTAAATCCAAATCGCTCAAGAGCACCGGGCGTTTGTGAATTTGGAGTACAGCCAATGAACGGCTCGGCCTCGGTCTCAATGTATCCATTGTGCTAAAATCTGCTGAAGGGGTCAGCGCCATGAGGGCATCCCGCAGCAGCGATTCACAGGCGCGCAGCGGCGCGACCAACGCGATCAGTTAAAACCTAAAAATCTCGAAAACTTGGAAAGACGACGAGCACGGAGACCAACTCACCCTTGGGAGGGCCGGCACGCCGCCCAGGGGGCGAACTGACACTCGCGCCACAGGCGCTGCCGCTTGAGCCCGGGCCGGTGCGGTGCACCCCGCGGCCGCCATCGACGCCATGCCAACTCCCCGGCCAAAGATAACTCTGCGCTGCCTGCCGCCCTGGGGAACAGGTGAGATCAAACACAGACTACCTCCGGCCTGGGGCTGGCCGCGCTTCAGCGGATCCAGGACGCCATATTCGCAGATACGGCTGCCCATCACTAGTCGTATCGATATGAAAACACCGTATTCGATACGCACTCAAAGCGCATCGGTGTGCGAGGCTGCTTGATGCAAGCGTGGGCGTGTGGCCAGCGCATGTCCACCTCGCCTGTTCCACGGTCCAGGCAGAGGGAAGGCAAGCAGGGAGCCGCGAGCGCGGACAGGGTTTTGGAGACACTGAAGGATAGGGGTCTTCAGGCGATCGAGCAAAGTTCGCGCCAGGAGCCATGCGCGCTTCCTCGAGCAGTGTTGGATTGCGTCGTGAACTCGCCGTCCGATCGGCAGCCACACACGTCAGGAACTTCCTTTTGGCCGGCAGGCAAGCCGCAACGTTGTCGATACGCTGTGGATGCACTCAGGGACGTCCTATTCCACACCCCAGCAGTCACCTTGTCAGCACCAAGTGTCGTTGGTAACGGAAATTATTCTGACCGGAAGTACCCACCCACATTCCTGAACCTGGAATCCCCAGCCCTGCTGCACCACCCACCCCGTCTCCAAGGGGAAACACACAAAGGCCACACGGAACCCTCAGCCCCGCGCCATGAATAGCGAAAATTACAGCATGAGGATCGATTCTGCACCACTCTTTCCGATAACGCCCGTCACAAAAATGTCGTCCGATGAACTCTGAAGCAAAATCGAACCTTTGCAATCCCAAAGCGCTGCGCCGCAGCGCCGCTCCTCTGAGCTCCTCTCCTGCCACGCGCACCCCTGCTCACTGCCCAGCGGGCCTTGACGGCAACACCTCGCTGACCGGCTCAACTTGACCCTGGATAGTTGACCGCGCCTTTTTATGCAGACCCTCTGCTGGACAGGACTACAATATCGTAGAAAATGGTATATAGGCGGGACTGACTTCCCCACACAACCACTTAAGTACAGGGAAGGGCCCTTAAATAGGGGAGAACCCGACACTACTGGAAGTTTCAATTCGGCCCACGCGCTTACAAAGCACTGGGACAAAGGTCTGAAAGAACCGAGGGCAGGCCGAGGGTGCTCTGGTCCACTGCCAGTCAAAAGCGAAATGCCATCCAAAGCGATTGTCCTGAACAGCAAGAGAGACATGCGCACGAAGGAAGCGTTCATTCCTCTGAAGCACCCTTGCATGCACATTACAAGCAGTGCCTGTGTACCTTGCTGGCGATCGCAAGGACGTAGGGAAGCATTCAGGCGGGTGTGCCCAGGTTGGGGGCACTATGGCGGGAATGGTAGCGCACATCTTTCTATGCTCTGTGCCTCCACACGTGGGATTTGTACACAGGCACAAGGATGCTATCCGACTATCACATGCCGGGACCTGTATTTCCTTTTTGTAATGCCATGATGGATTCATCACTTGTATGCGGCGGCAGTACTGCACAACTTTGCCACTTTCTGATCCTTATTGGCTTCTGCCTTGGTTCTTTTGTGAGGCGCTGCATGTTCCGGTTCTGCCACTCTTCCTGGTGATGTCGTATCACAGTGCCTAACCAGCTTTCTGGCTTCATGATTGTCAAACCTCCTTTGCAACAGACATCTGGCCCGCCCTATTACTCTGCCATTGCACCCCCTATCATTTGAGTCAGGTGATCTGGCCACTGCCAAACCAAGTGCTCGATGCATTAGACAAGAGGCTGGGCTGGGGCGCGTGTGTCCATCACCAGGTGCAGGTTACTAGGTATTTTGGGCGAGGTTCTGTGCACTTCTGGGCACATTCCATCCCCACTGGAGCCATGGTGCTTCCCTCTAGGGTTTCTTGTTGGCTCCAGCCTCCACAAGCGTGCATATTTTCTCCAATTGCACATTTGTGCATGGCTACAGCCACATGCAGACCATCGAGTGCAAGTTCCCTGTTCCCAGCTCTACTCATCATCTTGTGTGCTCTTCCTGCTATGTAATTCTTGAGGCATTATAAACTGCAGAGATGATAACATCCTTTTGGATGGGGGAGTGCCCACCTTGTTTCGCTTTCCCGCTTCTGATGTTCTGCAACCGAACCTTCCATGGTCTGGAGAGCCTCTGCACAGCATATTCATGGTGACACATATCACTGCTGTCACAGTGCCTGCTCACATTTACCCTAGGCCCCAAACGCTGGGTTGGGAACGGCCCCAGCATGATTTGCACAATTTCAGCATTTGGGTTAATGTCATGGCCCATCCAATAGTCCCATTAGCACCACCAATTGCTGCCCTTTATCGCCCAAGGGTAGAAGGGGCTTACTCTGAAAAGAAAAACGTTGTCAAAGCGGGCATGTACAACCAACCACTTATTTTCAAACAATCACACACTCCCACTAGGTGCAAGGTGATACTGGCAGTGGACACATAGCAGTCACGTTTTGGCCTTTCTGATGGGTGGCATACTGCACCTAGCCATCGCCACCTTCTAGCAGCTTCCAGCTGGCACTGTTTTGCCGCAAAAGGGCAAAGTTAAACAGACAGGGGGTTAATCCAGCTGTCGCACCACTAGGATGAGCGAGTTGGTTCCCTTGATGGCAGGATCCCTGCTGGACCACTCCACAGACACCACAACACAGGTCCCTGCATGGTCTCTGCCCATATTACAATGCACAAGCTTCCAGATAGGCGAGTTGCTACTAGTGATGTTCCCATAAAATCTGCCAGAACAGGTGGCAACTGAGAGCCCACCAACATCTCGGCCAGAATAAGGGAGCCAAAGCTCACCGGCCCGAATCTATGCATGCTACAATGCCAGTTCCCTCTATCACTTTGCAGCTTTATTTCTGGAAACCACAGGAGTGGCTGGTTCGGCATGATGCCACACCAGCTCTCTACCCACCCCAGCAAATAAGGCTCCAATATTCTGACCCAAATTATGCACTACCGCCTCCCAAGAAGCTGGCTTGCACACGAATAAGTCATGGGGCGCCCTTGATGTGGACAACAAATCCACACTGTCAGCCCACACATCTTGCAGCCAACCCTCGAGTGCCCGTCTACACTTTGCAAGCCAAGGATTGGCAACAGCTGCCGATACGGTCAGCGCTGAAAATGTGAATGAAGAATTCCACACCATCGCCTCTCCTCTTTTCTCATCATGGAGGTGCCCAATGCCCGCCATGTTTCAGGTCGGGTTAATGGAAATCGTTCCCCGCCGCTCAGCAACCCGTCATCCCAGCACCTCTGTTACAAATGCATCCTTCATATACAACTCCCGCTCGGCGGCTCCCCGGCTCACGCCGGGCCCCCGGCCTCCCCCCTCGCCTCCACGCCCACCTGGCAGAACGTCGCGCGCATCCTCACGATCTTCCCGCCCTCCACCGTCAGCAGCTCCGCGACCCGCAGCTTCACCCCGCTGGCCTCCTCCACCCCCTCGTACACAAGCGCCGCCTCCCCGTCGCTGAAGACCGTGTCCAGCAGCGAGATCGCCAGCCATGGCGACTCGCCTCCGCCCACGGCCCGTCGAAAGGCGGCCCCCCCGCGCAGCGTCGCAGCGCCGAGGTCGATCTCCGCGTCGTCGGAGAAGCAGGCGGCCATCTCATCAAAGTCCGCGGGGCGCTGCCATGAGTGGAAGTACTTGAGCACCAGTTCGCGGGTGCTCTCAGTGCGCTGGCGGGGGGCCGGCCGACCGGCGCCGGTCATCGCGCCCCGCGGCGGAGGCGACCGGGCGGAGCGGGCGAGTGGGATCGGCGGGGCGGAAGGAAGCGAGCGCGGTGGCGGGCGGGGTCGCTGCCGCCCTTGGGGGCCTGCAGGCCGCAGGCGGCGCCGGGCGTGGGGGCTTGCAGGCCACGACAGGCGCGAGGCGTGGGGGCTGCGCACCACAGATGGCGCCGGGCGCATACGGGGGGCCCCCCTCAGGCCGTATTTGCCCTGTTTCACAAACCTTCACAAACTGTGCGATTCCTACAGTTTGTGGTGCACTACAGTTTGTGATGGACAGCGCCACCCGACGACTGGGTCCCGATATGGTAGTATGGTTGCACTGCAGTAATGTATTGATACTGAAGCTGGGCAGGTACAGCGGACGCAAAATCGTTTGATTACACGTGGCGAAAAGAAACACAAGAACTGCCCTTTCTGCGCCTGATGTGACGGACAAGTTATCACACAGTATGCCTGGCTTGCGATCTCCGCGAGCGGCGTCTATAAACCTAACAAACCCATGGCTAAATCCATTTGTACCACTTCTTGAAGCCAACGAATAATAGTCAATTCTATCAGCCAACCACCGAGTTGCGTTTCCTTTGGCAGGTACACCGAACGAGGTACGATTAAGTAGGCCGCTGAAGACCATGAAGCCAAAAGAACTGAGAAAACGTGCTCAAGCCCCTTTCCGTGGCGAAAAATAGGCTAGGCGGCACTGATCAATCAATGAACAAATTATTCGGTTGCTTGTTTCTCACTCCACTGCAGGTCGTTCCTTTCATTCCAGTGAACATCACTGGGATGGTGCGGGGTGTGTAGGAAGGAGGACTGTTTGCTTCTCCAATTAGCGCAACACCCCTTCCCTCATTTTTTTGGGATACTCGGATTCTGTGAGTGCAAGTGAACAAACACTCTGAACAGTGAGGATGGCACGATGCACATTCCCACCTCGGAGATCTAAGACAGTGCTTTGTCACTTCGAAGAGTGTTATCTAGGGGTTAGAACCACACGCCCGCGCACAAGTGGCCCACCCTGAGGTCTTGATTGGTGACCGGCCGCCTGAAGCCCTCCTGTCTCACAAAGTCGCTTCCAACTCATCGTTCAACATTTCAAACATTTGGTGTCTCCTACATCAACCACTCACTGAACCACTCTCAGTTTCGAGAGCCGAGATTCCGATTACTTCCCAAGTCATCGCTGCGTCCAGCACTCCTTGCACGTGCACGCGCATGCTAACACACACAGACCCCTGCCACTGCCCTGCCACTGCCCTGCCACTGCCCTGCAGCCCCGACTGGGTACCATAAGTTGAATTGATGGTCACCTGGGTACGTCGTGGCAAATGCAAAAGTCCAGTTCGAAATGCGAGGGGCAATTCGAGAGATGCGTTGGCAGCACAAAACAATCCATGTAATTCGCATCCACGAAGACATGGTATTCGCACCCTGTGACGCACGTGGCTCAACGTACACTGACCCAATAGGTCAGTGCATCTGTGGGTCAGCCTGGGCACATGACCTGCGGCTATCGACTCTCATTGCCCACATCCCCTCACTGCTGCCGTCCACTCGCTGCCCTCTCCTTTGCCCGTGCCACAAATTTCTGCTGAATTTCCTCCAAAGAAAGTGACTTTGTCTCCGGCAAAGCCCACCACACCCATACCCAGCCACATGCAGAGATCAGCGCATACAAGCAAAAAGTGCCAGAGGTGCCCACCCACCCCACTAGGGACAAGAAAACCTGGGAGACAATGTAGTTCGTGACCCAGTTCCCCGTGGCAGCGGCGCCGCCTGCAGTCGGTCGCAAAACGGAATGCAAGTCACCACGAAAGTTCGACTAACCCATGGATGAGGTCAACGACAAGATTTGACCACTGAAAACACACTTGGGGAAAGGCCATGGGGGCGAGCTTTGGGGAAACTCGCTACCACGCCCCAACACACACCACTTCGTCCTGTAACCATACAAAGTTAGAGGAGGTAGATAATTGGGCATGAACGTGGTGTTCGCATGACCAGACATCTGTTCCAGACAAGTGCACAGCTGCCATCACTGCTTTCTTGTTTCTGCTTCCTACCCCATTTGGCTGTTTGTCACATTTTGCCACTGCTTACGATAGACTGCAGGGGAGCGATGGAAGCTAGCACACAGGATATTGCAACAAAGAGCCCACTAATCCGATATCATAGGGCATGTTTGAGACTTCGGCTGCCGATCCTGCACCAACTGAACAGCAGGCCTCTTAAACGCCACAAGACAGCGCAAATGACGCCAGGTCCCAAGAAGGCTCGGTCACATGCTGCAAAGTCGCTGGGCTTCAATCACATTGCAATCCATCCCACTCTGTACGGCACGCCTTTCCTGTTGTGCTCAGCAAATTCTGCACCAACTAATACAATATGCAAATGAGCCTCATTACAGCTTGTCCACAAGCGGTGGACATATTGTATGGCATTCTTCTTCTTCATCCACAAAAAGCCTTCTCTGGGAGGGGGGTGCCGATTGCATGGAGTATTGCGGCATTAAAATGCGCTCCTCAAAACAGCAGAGAAATTTTGCCAGGCCTGCATGTGTTAGAATCCATAAAATAGCTCTTGAACATTCAAAATGTCACCAAGACAGTTGGTGCAACCTCATATTTGTGTCCTGATGGATTGCTTTCTAACTTTGCCAAAGACTAGTCAATACAAAAAGGAGCAATCAGCGTGTCAAATAGGTCAATCCTTACCTGCTGCTCCACGGACCGTCATTGGGTAGATCTCAGCATTCACTGCCCATGGTAATGGCCCCATGCCTGGCGCAAATGCTGCAAGGTACATCACCAGCCCTGCAACAATAGCCCCTGCAAAGGGCCCTGGGCAGCCAGCCTCGAAGGCCAGAAAGGGACCCTCAGGCGATGTAGGGCAGGATTTGGAGAACCCATGCGATGAAAGGCAGACCCCCTGTGCATCGGTATCCTGGGTGTCCATGCAGAAGACACAGGTGGTGTCCTGGGACACAGGTCAGCATTAAGGTAGGTTTGCATGGCGCTTTGTGTCCATGTTGTATCAGAACACGACAATAGGGCGAACAAACTAAAATTTGCCTGCGTTCACTGTTGCTGAAATTACATACCAATGTCAAGTGGGGTATGCTGGTTTGGCTGCAGGGTCTAGGCCAAACAAATGACTTCATGAAGGTAATGATGGGAGGTCAGCGTGTCATTCAGGGCAGCAAGAGTGCGCAGCATTTTGGGCTTACAGTAATGAAGTTATGTCATATATTGGGCATGGGCACCACTCAGCTTGGACCCTAAGTGAGGAGAAACTGTAAACCTGCTGTCGGGAACAACACAGCCAAAAACAGCCTAATCCTAATGATCTATGTCCACAATTCCAGATGGAGGGTGTTGTGTGGTTGTGGTGTACAGTTGGAAGAGTCTCAATGCTGCAAGTGCTTGACAGTAGCCTTGCACAATCTTGTCAGGGGGCACAAGGCCCATATCTCTTTGGCTTGGGTGAGATTGACACCTTTAGTCTTCAAAGGGATGCAATCTCACAGAATTCCAAAAGCAGAGGTCTTCAGCCTTCAGTTGGCTATCGTCTGGAATGCTGCAGTCCATCTCCAGTCTCCACAATGTGGAACTGCACAAGTGCTGTACTTGTGCAGGTGTAAGGATTAGGACAGTTTCTCACAGGGGCTCCCACAACTTCAGACATCAATCTTTGGCATGAACACCCCAGCAGTACACTCACCCTGGGGCTGACACGCAAGCATTCCTGGCAGTCCTTCGCAGCACAGTTCGTTGCCAAATGTCCCCCGGCGATTGACTCAACCACAGTCGGGGACTGCCTCTCATCCAAAACAAAGCAGGTCGTCAAGAATGCCAGGGTCAAGAACACCCCAGCGAGGCTCCCCAGTGCAAGCTTGCGGCGACCAACACGGTCAATGGCCCACATCCCAATGAGCGTGCCGATTGCATTCACAGCTGCTGGCAGCATTGCAACGAGCAGTGCTGACCGCTTGTCTGCAAAACCAGCGATTTCGAGGATGGTTGGGGTGTAGTACATTACAGTGTTGATGCCGCACAGCTGCTGCAAGACCTGCAGGCCAATGCCTGGGAACACACACCCCCGCATAGGAGCAGTTACTGCATGTACCACTGATGCACTCTGCCCAAGTATGCAATGCCATAGCAATTCGATCAAGTTGCGCTGGATGTAGTACAAGTTTTGGGTGCTTGAGTGTCCATCATCGCTTTCCAGATTTAATGGCACTGCTTTGACTGAAAATGCAATCCAGAAAAAATGCGCATTCCAGATGTGCTTGTTTGGAGCGGGAGCAGATCTCATAGGTACACAGAAATGATGGATTCAAAAGAGCAGAGCTATTTAAAGTGGGAAACAAGCTGACAAACACTTATATTGGCACCAACCACTGACACGAGCGATAGTATGCTGCCAGCACGACTCACAACAAAACACAAACAAAAGGAGAGGGAAAGGCACAAAAACATGGAGAAGGAAGGCACTCATGTGGCTTTATGTGGCTACTATGATCAACATGTTGACAAGCGACGTGCTACTGCTGGCTCAACTTATATCACATGCAGCATCGTTGTACATGCAGCCATTAGCCCTGGAACAATGCCCCACATAGCCTTGTTGCTCTAAAAAGCTTAAATATGCTGCAGTGAGCAGTTTCTATCCACTTGAAAAACAACCGTCAACAGATGATGTTCATGTTCTTAGCTGGGTCAACATCGCTCACCAACAACAAGCTCTTCCCGGACTTCTGGTCTGGAGACCATCTTCATGAGTGTGTTGCCATTGGCAGTCTTTTCAACCTCCTCCTCAACTTCGTGCTCCACAGCCTCAGCCTACCAGTCCACATGTCCAGACGATTCAAAGCCTTTGAAATGCCAGACAAACCCTTGTCTTGCGCCTCATGGGTCGCTTCACAACTGTTGTGACTATCTCTTGCTGGAATCACTTTGATGATCACCACCCAAGTTGTGCGGTGCTATCTATCACTGGACTGGGTCACTTTGTTCCATTCTCTCATGTTGGTGGGGTTTAGGGCTTTTATTCTTTCTCAACAGCAGTACCTTGCCCACGTCCCAGTCATAATGGAGACAATTATTCAATCTTGTGCAGCTGCCTGTGTCTTGCCACCCGTCCCATTTTCCTCCATCCAATGCCCCTTCTGGGCACACCAACAACCAATCTATGCCCATGCAACCGCAGGTTCTGTGTGAGGCGCTTGCTTGAAGGTGCAGCATGGACCCAGTCCTGCAGGGATTCCATTGCCGTGGCAGTGAAGGTTGTGTGAGCAACAGTGTGCTGAGTGTCCGCATACCCAGAGAACAAGCGGGCCAGGAACGAATAGCACAGCAATACAAGCACAACCTATTTCCAGTAAATCGGTACACCTCCTAGAAACTGCAACACAACACAGTCATTGTTCACCGTCAACATTTGCTGTCTGATTGAACCAATTGATTAATCCAACTGAGAAAGACAAACTACACCCTTGAGTTTGCACAACTTGTCCAAATGCATGCTTATTGCAACCTTGAGCACAGAACCTTGCTTACACAGCACTTACCCACATTGAACCACAATTGTCATCTGTGCATTTTCTTTAAAGCTCATTATGGGCAAGTGTATTTGCATGTTATGTGTGCTCTATATCATGACTGCAATGTCTATGCGTTGTCCACCTGTGACAACAGTACTGTACCCCTTTGCCATCACCGCTGAATGTTATATCCTTTAGGTCAGTCAATATGAGTGCTTTTCTAAGCGTATTTTATGTGCCCACTATCACCTGTTGCGCATGGAAGGATACATGGCTACACCGCCGTGTGTCACAATTCAACATGACTGTATTTGAAAGAAACAGAGCAGCTGCGACCTTGCACCCACCTGTCCTTACAATGCAAGGTGCCTAATTGCCCCTTTCTGCCAAAGCACAATGGCATCCGTTTGAACCAGAAAGGCAGTATTGTTCAACACCGAAAGAAGTAAAGGAACAGCAGAGCTTGAGGAAATCCTCACCTCCTTGGTAGGCATGAGCGTCTTCAAGACCGTCCTCCCCTCCCTTAGACGTCCCCTGCTTATCAGCCACCGTGGTGATTCTGGCAGCAAGGCAAGCAGGCCTACCATTTGCACAACTGCCGGCACTGCCGCCATGCCTAGCATCCAGCGCCAGGTCCCAGGCACAAACGTAAACATGTAGTCCAAGAGATAGGCCACAAACTGACCTGCAGCCATCAATTGGGGCTTGCCTTGACCGCAGCACTTTGGGTGAAGGACAATCCATAGTCTGTGCAGCAGTGTGCAACAAAACTCCCACAATGTGAATCGAACTGCAACCATTATCATCTGGTATGTGCAGAGGCACTGGTTTCTCATTTTACACACATTGGCAAAAAGAATTCAACATTCACCATCTACTGTCCTGTTCCTGTACCTCCTGTGACCATGGCGATGTTGACTGTCACTAGTGTGGCACGAACAGCCCCCGGGCAGCACTCAGCAATGTAGACAGGGACGGCTGCAGATGCCAGTCCAATTCCAATACCTACAAGACCACGCCCTGGGAGGCGATGGAGCCAATGGAATGAGGAAGAGCAGCAGCGATGAACAGAAACATGCAGACGACTGCCAGAGCTGCACCTTTGAACATATTGGGGTATCCTGATTATTGTAGCAGCCATGGAATTGCAAAGCAGCAAATTAAATGGCATCGCCAACTTAACTGACATTGTGGAATTCCATTAGCCATTGCTCCGGCCTCTGGCGTGGTGGGCCCAATAGTACGGACAGAGACAGAGAGGCAAACGGAAAATGAACTCAAAAAGTGGACTCGAAGGTCCTTACAGTGGGATCCGAGTCTGTTCGAGTTACAAAAGGGTCTCAGGCGTCTCCTTATATACCCCCTTTCGACCCACTGGTGCAGAGAATCTCTCTAGGGATATTCTAAGGATATCCCAAGAATATGCTCAGCATATTCCCTTCTGTCACCTTGTTCTAAAGCACTACAAATACGCTACTAACCAATGATGTAAACCCTAAGTCAAACCTTTATAATTACCATGTCAAGGCACTATAAACACCTTCAAATGTACAAAAAATAACCATCTAATCATTGTCCAATGGATAGTCAACAGCATTTTCAAAGCATCTCAACCCGAATATGCCAAATTGCTTCAGAATATTCCCTTCTCACTCAGGTATAAGAAGGGAGCGCCCCATTCACATCAGACCCTTGAATACCCTTCATTGTCCCCAACCGGCACCATCATGAAGTTCGGCTCATGATCAACTATCACGCCAGCGGCTTCCTGTTGATCTCCTTCTGCAGCTTCCACACCTCGTTGCTCTTCCTCCTGCGCTGCCCATGCTTCTCTAGCCGCCCTTCTAGCCTCATTCTCCAGCTCACACCTTCTCCGGAGCTCCCGCCTCTCCTTTTGTTCCTCGCGCTTCCTTTTCCGGTTCTGGCGCATCAACTCATGGGAAGTTGCCTCGCCGTAAGGGAAGCCAAACAACGCCTGTTGTCGGACCTCGATGTCGACACGACTCGCATGGGTAAGCGAATCAGTCACCGTCCTTGCGTGGCCCCAAACCCGGAGGGTGTTGACGTGGCCATCTTGCTCCCAATGAATGCAAATGAGTTGCATCATTGGATTGGCAAACCCGGGAAATGCCGGAGCTTGGGCCATGGTCTCGGAAGATAAGCTTGAAGGAGGGTGGAGGATTGCTCTTGGAGTGGAGAGGAGCGCTAGCCAGGCTTTGAGAAATGGCTTGGCGGCCCCCTCTTATAGGCAACGACCCCCAAGCTCTACAATAAATGGATTCCCAGAATATTCTAAAGTTGTCTCTATATTCCCTCATATCTCCTATTGTATCAAATCTTGTTCCTACTAAAGCGACTTTTGAGATCAAAAGGCATGCTTGCAAACCTCTAATTTCTCATTCAATAATCTTAATTCCTACTCCATCACTTGATTGTAGGACCTCACATAGCATATCCTTCAATAGTAGGCATAATATTCCTTTACC